CTGTGGTTGGATCACATTTTCATTGTCAACTCAGCCTGGCGCTTGTTGTAAAAACAAGCCCACAGACGGGTAAACATCCCCAGCATTTGGGAATGGCAGTTCTTGCTTTGGGACAAAATGTTCTCTCCAAGCACTTCGGCTGAACCTTTAGTTGGAAAAGGACAAAGAGCCCTTTCTTCCTGTCTGCCTTTATCAACAGAACATGATAAAAGAGAATTTAGAACAGGAAATGGCTAGCAGCTATTGATTGCTTTTTTGGTCTGACGAAATTCAAATTTCACTTATCTCAAGACACTTCTACTCTGTGACAGGTGGCCTCTCATTTCTCACTCAGTACCTGGGTGTAATGACTGAGGTCTGGAGCTGACAAGCAGGAGCCCAGGGCGGGTGGTGGTCCCTGAATGGTAAATTTTGAAAGCTGTTTTCTTAGAGGGCCTGGCAGAACTTATGTAAGAGTTAAAGACTTCAAGTCCTGTGTGATTTTTATAAAGGAAAGAGATTGTTACTATCTGCAGAAATCTAAAATATCCTTTAAAAAAAAAAAAATCATTGCCATCGAGTGAATTCCAACTTATAGCGACCCTATAGGACAGAGTAGAACTGCCCCATAAGGTTTCCAAGGAGCGCCTGCTGGATTCGAACTGCCAACCTTTTGGTTAGCAGCCAAACTCTTAACCACTACGCCACCAGGGTATCCTTACAGAATAAAAAAATAACCAGGAAGAAGTTAAATTCTAAACTTTCTAAGTCGCACGCCAGATTTCCTGAAAGCACATGTACTTTTATACTTTGTCGTTGTTAGCTGTCAACAAGTTGAGCCCCAACTCATGGTGACCCCAAGCACAATGCAATTGGACTGCTGTGATCCATAGAGTTTTCATTGGACGATTTTTCAAAAGTAGGTCACCAGGCCTTTCTTCCTAGTTTACCTTAGTCTCGAAGCTCTGCTGAAACCTGTTCAGTATCATAGCAACACACGAGCTTTCACTAACAGACAGGTGGTGGCTGCACATGAGATGCATAGCCCAAGAATTGAACCTGGATCTTCTGCATGGAAGGCGAGAATTCTGTCACTGAACCAATGCCCCTTTTGAGGGTTATGAAATAAATTGTGACTTTTGGGGGCAGTGTTTAACTGAAGTAGCTATTGTAGAATAATGCAAGTGTACAAGCAAGTAATGCTAAGAAAGTCAGATGCTTTTTAAAAAAAAATTCTTAAGCTTAGGGCAGGAGTCCCTGGGTGGTGCAAATGGTTAACACACTCAGCTGCTAACTGAAAGGTTGGAGGTTTGAGTCCACCCAGAGGCACCTTGGAAGAAAGGCCTGGTAATCTACTTCTGAAAAACGAGCCATTGAAAACCCTATAGAGTACAGTTCTACTCTTACACACACGAGGCTGCCACGAGTTGGAGTCCACTTGACAGCAACTGTGTAAGCTTAGGACAGACAGTGACAACCTTGTTTCACATTTCCCAGGAGCTCAGACAGTTCCCTGAAAGGTTTCTCAGCACAGGGACATAAAGTCAAGAAAACCTGAGAGCCAGCCTGCGGTCCTCGCTGTCCATTCCTCTCTGGAGCATGAATGCAAAATGGCGGATCGTCACAAGGCAGTGGACTCTTGCGATTCCTTTTGCCAATACTGTACTTCCCTTCATACTGTTTTTGGCCTTCACATTAGGGTCTGAGATGAACTGTTTCAAGTCCTCAGTTTCTCTCTGTACCTGTCTTGGGTTATGGAGGGTAGAAGCAAGCCCTCTCTGCTTACCCACAGGGTATCAGCCTCCATCTCTGTATACGTGACTCACAAATCTCTAACACCCCATTCATTCCTGATTGTCCATTTCCTCCTTCAGTTCTTGACCTATCCATCAACATCTTCCGAGCCCTTCCTAGGAGCGCCGGTCGGTGCTGGCGGATGCTGTTACCAAGATGTCTCAGACCCAGTCCTCGCCTCAAGGGAGAACTCTGGGTCTGGAGAACAGAGACTGGCCACCAGGACATGTTGTGAGGGAGGAGGGCAGAAACGGGAGCAGGAAATGGAGTGTCTCTGGTGTGAGCCATGACGGAGCAAAGAATTCAGAACCAGCTCAGGATGAAAGCGTGGCTGGCACCTGTCCAGTATGCTCCTCTTACACAGTGGCTGGGGAGCGGGGTGGAGAGGCGAGACCCTTGACAAGAGCACTGGATGCCTTTCACCTGTAATGCTCCTCCCCCAACATCCAACTCCAAACCCACTTCCTCTGAACTCCTGCGATTGTGCAAACAGGTAATGCACTCGACTGCTAACCCAAAGGCTGGCAGTTCAAGTCCACCCAGAAGTGCTTCAGAAGAAAGGCCTAGCGATCTACTTCCAAAACATCAGCTATTGAAAACCCTATGGAGCAGAGTTTAACCCTGACACACACGTGGTCATCAGAAGTTGGACTTGACTCCATGGCAATGGGTTCTGAACTCCTGCTGTCCTTCTGCAATTAGGGAATTATGCCTTGGGCTGGGTTGGGCCAAACTTCCGGGGTGCTAGCTCGATCCCCTCTGCGTCCTTTACAGCCCCTTACAGAGCCTGGCTCACAGAAGGGGCTTAATAAACATTTGTTGGATTAAGATCCTGCAGAAGCCTCCTGTGGCCACGCTTGCAGGTGTCTAGAAGAAGTCAGTTCAGGGCAAGCTCGCCTGGGGTCATCCAGCTCGCCTGCGGTCATCCAGCTTCCTGGGGGTCATCCAGCTCACCTGGGGTCATCCAGCTCGCCTGGGGTCAT